CTGAGCTGTGCTGAAAAGGTGTAGGGCTTCCATTAAGGATCCCTTTAGAGGGTTGCTTTCAGGGATTCCTTGAAGTGTTCTGCTTCGTGGGTTCCATGAAGGGTCCCTTTAGAGGTTGCGTTCAGGGATTCCTTGAAGTGTTCCGCTTCGTGGGTTCCATTAAGGGTCCCTTCAAAGGTTGCCTTCAAGGTGCCTTTTAGTGTCCTTTCATGGGTTCTGCCTACGTGTGCCAATACGGGTCCCTTAGAGGGCTCCTTCCTCTAAGGGTTATTTTAAACGGATCTTGTTCAGGCTCCTTCAAGGGTTCTATAAGGGTACCGGGTTTAGGATACTGTGCGGATTCGATGAGGGTTCTACTATACTGTTTTGGGATTTCCAGGAGGGTTTAGGGGTAGTCTGCATGACGGATCCTTGCTGTTACCAATTGTATTGCCTGGGCCGGCTGGGACCCTGCCATAAGAATCAAGGAAGCCAAAACACGGAACTACACTGGATGCTATAGGTTGGCTTTCCCGGAGGTTTGCATGGTTTCATTTTGATCAGTGGGGTCTCGTGTGTTTCTCTGTGTATATGTGTGTGTGCGCTTGTGCTTGTGTTTTTTTTTTGTGTGTGTGTGTGTGTTTGTTTGTTCGTTCGTTTGTTTGTTCGTTCGTTTGTGTTTAGTGTTTTCCATGTGGTTTATAGAATGTAACAACGCATAGGACGTGCAGAAGGTCTCACACGGGCGGCCAAGCTGTTTAAATTGTGAGAGTGGCTTGGGCAGGGTGGGGCACAGTTTTTGCTACACATTGAGTAGCATGACCCTAAACCCTAAAGCCTAAACCCTAAAGCCTAAACCCAACCTCTGAGCCGTAAGTAGCATGGACGAATGCCTGCCCGAACACTGGGCTTCGAAGTCGGTGCGACGAAAAGGGCCCTCAAAAAAACAAAAAAAAACATAAGCCTAAACCCCCAAAGCCTAAACCCATGTGCAGAGGCTCCTGCGATCCTTGATCCTGCGGCCACGGCTCCAAAACAGAAGGCAACCCGGAGCCCCACGCGCAATGCCTTGAACCGGAAGCAGTCCCTGGACAAGTATACTCCTTGGGGCCATTCCTGAAATTCCTGAAAGAACCCATAAGCGAAGCAAAAGGCCTGACATGGATCCCTGCAGTTGTAGCTACGGTAGGGTTTCAGGGTTAGCAGCCCTAAACCCAAAACCCTAAATCCCTTAAACCCTAAACCCCTGAAGCCCTAGACCCTAAATCCCTCAAGCCCTAAACCCCTTACGCCCTAAACCCGAAATCCCTCAAACCCTAAGCCCTACCCGGAATGGATGACTAAGTGAGGCCCAGCACTCCCCCTGTGGAGAAGTACCGCATTCAGGCGCAAGAGGGTGGCCTTCCCTAGGTCGAAGCCCCGAGTCCCTTTAGGGTTTAGGGTTTAGGGGTTATAGGGGGTTTATAGGGCTTTAGGCGGTTTATAAGGTTTAGGGTTTAGAGGGTTTATAGGGTTTAGGGTTTAGGGGTTATAGGCTATAGGGTTTATAGGGCTTTAGGGCTTTAGGGGGTTTATAGGGTTTAGGGCTTTATATATAGGGTTTAGGGTTTAGGGCTTATAGGGTTTAGGGTTTAGGGGGTTTATAGGGTTTATAAAGGGTTTAGGGGTGTAGGGGTTATAGGGTTTATAGGGCTTATAGGATTTATAGGGTTTAGAGGGTTTAGAGGTTTAGAGGTTTAGGGTTACGTCCGTGCCTGCTTGGGGGTGTAGGGAGGTTCAGCCTTTAGAGAGGTTTGCGGGTTTTTGGGTTTGGGTTCAGGGCTTTGGGGTACAGGGACTTTAGGGCGTTAGGGGTTAAGGGCTTCGAGGGTTTACAGGTTAGGGCTTAGGGTTTAGGGGCTTTGGGCTTAAAGGCTTCGGATCTAAGGGTTTGTGTTTGCGAGGGTTTGTAAGGGTTCAAAGGATTCAGGCTTTTTGGGTCGGGCGAAGTATTGAACAAAATGAACTGTAACCTGGCAGGCTTAGGTTGTGGGGTTGAGGTCCACGTTGTCGGGTTGAGGGTTTTGAGTTTGGGGTTTNNGGGTTTATGGCTTTGGGGTGTAGGGGCATCAGGTTTCTATGTGTCCCATCTCAAGTACCCTGTGTGAAGCCCGTAGCCATCGGCGCCCCAGATCAGACTTGGTGGGATCCCGCTAAACACTTCTTGAAGTGGACTTCGCTGACGGAAAAGACATCGTGAAGCCATGGAGCCAACCATAAATCCCCAACCTTAGGAAAAAGGACAACATATTCAAAAACAAGTTACGGTATTCTTATCGTATTTATAGCCTATGGTACTGTTGTCGTAAACCCTCAGGAACCCTTAGCAAAAAGTGGGCGCATTCTTACCGCAATCACACTATTCTCTATGAAAACCTTAGAGGACCCCTTGGAGAGACCTTTAAAGAAAACCCTCAAAGGCCTAAAGGAACCCCTAAAGAGAATCCCCCTACGGGGACCCTTGAAGAGAAAGCCTAAACCCCAGAGCCCCCAAACCCTAAACCCCTAA